CTTTTCAGCTACCATGGAAACATCTCGTGGAATCCTGGAGTTTGTTATTTGGAGAAAATGTTAAATTGGTGTTATTTTATGTTGAATCGACTCCAACTTCTCACGATCCCACAAACTGCAAACTTCCAAGAGTCACAATCACCAGCTACCTTGTCCAAAACTGCTGTGGCTTCCTTGAATTAATGGATTTATTTGTAGTGAGGTCTCTCTTTTTTTTCCTATGGCCTTCCACTTTACCAAGCTTTATTTAACAAAACAGCTTTTATTGGCATACACCAACAGAATCACAACACAGGCATATACAACAATTGGAAGGAGCACCGGGTGGTGCAGTGGGTTAGACCCTTGTGCTGGCAGGACTGCTGACCAAAATGTTGGTGGCTTGAATCTGGGGAGCAGGGTGAGCTCCTGTCTGTCAGCTCCAGCTTCTCATGTGGGGACATGAGAGAAGTCTCCCACAGGGTGGTAAAACATCCAGGTATCTCCTTGGCAACGTCCTTGCAGACAGCCAATTCTCACACACCAGGAGCAACTTGCAGTTTCTCAAGTCGCTCCTGACACGAAAACAAACAAACAAAAAAGCAGAGATCCCCCAAGATACTAATTCTTTCAGATACACCATCATTTCTCCCAATTTGGTTTCCACTGCCTTTTTCTCCATGTATTTTGCAAACACACCTGAATGTTTGTGCAGGAGTTGTTGGCCAGCACAATATCGAGCTTTGGCTGCCTCCATGCGAACAGGCTGGTGGATGAGTGAAAATACCTCTCTGAAGCTGAATTCTCCCTCGCCACTCCACCATCCCTGCTTTTTGGCATGTTGCCGCAGACCTGTATGTTCAGCGGTAATCTCTGTTCCAATGCTCAGTTGGTTGGAGATGTTAAGAGCACCTTCTGCAAAGGAGAAAGTCACAGATTTCATTTAAACAATGGCACTTTCACACTGCAAAACTACAGTGTTACGATTCCACTTTTACTTCCATTGCATCATGTGGAAACCTGGGACTGTCAGAAAAGAGTATTTCAGAGTTCTCCAGTGAATCCCAGTTGCTGGAAGCTACATTTCAGAAGAAGGAACTGACAACGTGACCTTGAAGTATTCCTTGCTTATGGTGACCCCTATGAAATCCATGAGGTCACCATAAATCAATAAGTGACTCGAAGGCGCATACAAACACACTTTTAGGAGTCTATGCCAGAAATTGACTACTAGCCCCAGGATTCCACATGACTGACACAAAGAAATGAAAGAGGAACCACACTGCTAAAAACAATGGAATGTGAAAGGGCTTCACATCCTTTGCCACAGTTTGTGGTAAACATGCTTACCTCGAATCCTCTGAGCAGCCCAAAATCGCCCAGCTGTTTCCAAGACCCAGGCTTCCTTGCGATCGGCCAGGAGAAAGGTATTATGGTAAATGAAAGGGGTCGGCTCCTCCTTGCAGCTCCCCCCTTGGCCATAGTGCTCCAGAAGTGTTGTTATGACCTGGAGGGCTTCATGGGCAGTGCTGCCTTGCTCTAAACCCAGCCTGAAATGCATTACTTTTGTTACACATCATTAACCTGACTGTCAAATACTTAATTCATATCCTAAACGCACTGTGAATTTTTCAAAAGCTGAAAAAACCCCCAAAGAAGCAAGGGACAATCTGTCTTAGATGTAAGATAAATAATTTTTCCTTTGTTTAATATATCCCCCTTTCCCCAGCAATGCAGTGTTCCCTCACTACTTCGCAGTTCACTTATTGCGGACTCGGTGTTTCGCAGGAAGAAGTGAGGGAACACTATATAGCTGCTCCCCATTCCTTCCTTGCCAGGCTGGGCGCCAGGCTTCGGCACCCAGCCTGGTGGGGAAGGGACCTCTGAGTCGGAGCAGCGGAGCTGGTGAGGAGGAGGCCACCACCGAAGAGGGCCTTGGCGGCGGTGTCCTCCTCCTCCTCGCTGGCTCTGCTGTTTCCCGCTCCTTCCTCACCAGGTTGGGCGCCCAGCCTGGCGAGGAAAAGGCCTCCGAGGCGGGGAGCAGCGGAGGTGGCGAGGAGGAGGTCGTTGTGAAGTAGGGACGCTCCACCCACTCAAGTGGGTGGAGCGTCCCTACTTCACGGATTTTCACTTATCGCGGGTGGACCTGGAATGGAGCACCCATGATAAATGAGGGAACACTGTAGACTTAAAACGGCTTACCACAAATTAAAACAAAGCTAAAGTTATACTAACACAAAAGTTTAAAAACTAAAACCAAACAATTCTATTAAATGTATACCTATTTGAGAGCTTTCAAATAGCAACTGACTACAATAAAACTTACAGCCACTATGTAATCGCTTTTTGCTAAAGCGGCTGTGGAATACAGTAAATTTAGAGGCAGAAAGAGGCTGGAACTGAGAAGTCACAGATAACATGGTTGCATGTGACAAGGTTTTTTTTATTTATACTGACAGTCCAAGCAAAGCGTATCTCCAAAGTAACATAGCAAATTGGATCACTAACATTTCACTATTGCAACAAACAACATTATCTAATTAATGTTGAATGTTACTTTCATATATTATTGTTACAGATATTTTGGCTGAAATTTGTTCATAGTCAATTGATGCTATTGTATCACTGTATTAACAGTCCCTGATTTTTGGTTCCTTTTTGTGCTATTTCTATCGAGTGTATATATATGTCATAGTCTTTTGTTGGAGCCCCCAGTGGCGCAGTGGGTTAAACCCCTGTGCCGGCAGGACTGAAGACCGACAGGTCGCAGGTTCGAATCCGGGGAGAGGCGGATGAGCTCCCTCTATCAGCTCCAGCTCCTCATGAGGGGACATGAGAGAAGCCTCCCACAAGGATGATAAAAACATCAAATCATACGGGTGTCCCCTGGGCAATGTCCTTGCAGACAGCCAATTCTCTCACACCAGAAGCGACTTGCAGTTTCTCAAGTCGCTCCTGACACGACAAGAAAAAAAGTCTTTTGTTGCTCAGTTGCTACCTCTAAATGTTTTTTATAACAGGCATGGGCAAACTACTTAGGCCCTCCAGGTGTTTTGGAATTCAACTCCCACAATTCCTAACAGCCTATGGAATTGTGGGAGCTGAAGTCCAAAACACCTGGAAGACTGAAGTTTGCCCATGCCTAAGATAGATACAGCTATATGTGGATACATCACCTTCTGGTAAACATTATGTTGTCTCTTACCTGACCAGATCCATGCCCAGCAAGGCTTCCTCCTTCCCAACTGGTTCCTTGGTCCAGACCCCTTCATTGCCAATGCAGACCCCGTGTTCATTGGCTCCCATCTCAGCTCCCCATAGCCAGGCAGGCCGGCTCAGAATAACTGCATGCGTCCTTTCAACCTGCTCCACTTCAATATATGTACACTGGAAAGAAAGTTGGCCTTTGTAAGCAGAGTGAGAATGGATGAACATTTTGTTACTACAACTCCCAGAACCTTCCACTCAACTTGTTCAGTAGCAATGCTTGCAAGAGGGTTTGGGAATTTTAGTCCTCCCAGAATTAATTTACCATGCAGTGTATGCAACCAAGATCATATCCACACAAACTTTAAACAGGAATTCCACACTGTGTGTTGCAACATGTTAGTGTGTGTTGGCTGCAGCATGGAAGTGTGTTGAACGGACATAATGAGAAATCTCTGAAATAAGAAATTAATAATATATTTTAAAAAATTTTAATCTCAGATTTTCATGCAATATGTTGTCTCCTCATGCATTTCATTATTACAATTTCTGTATATGTCCGTATGTGTTATAAGTGTTCGAAATAACAACCTTCTTTTAGCCTCCACTAATTATTCGTCATGTATATAATTGCTTATTGTATTGTATTTGTGTGTATTGGTATTTGTGTGTATTGGTATGTGTGGGCCTGCTTTTGGCTGATGAGATAGGAGACCACACCTGGAATATTGTGTCCAATTCTGGGCACCACAATTCAAGAGAGATATTGACAAGCTGAAATGTGTCCAGAGGAGGGCGACAAGAATGATCAAGGGTCTGGAGAACAAGCCCTATGAGGAGCGGCTTAAGGAGCTGGGCATGTTTAGCCTGAAGAAGAGAAGGCTGAGAGGAGATATGATAGCCATGTATAAATATGTGAGAGGAAGCCACAAGGAGGAGGGAGCAAGCTTGTTTTCTGCTTCCCTGGAGACTAGGACATGGAAACAATGGCTTCAAACTACAAGAGAGGAGATTCCATCTGAACATGAGGAAGAACTTCCTGACTGTGAGAGCTGTTTAGCAGTGGAACTCTCTGCCGGAGTGTGGTGGAGGCTCCTTCTTTGGAAGCTTTTAAACAGAGGCTGGATGGCCATCTGTCAGAGGGGATTTGAATGCAATATTCCTGCTTCTTGGCAGGGGGTTGGACTGGATGGCCCATGAGGTCTCTTCTAACTCTTTGATTCTATGATTCTATGAGTGTTGTTGTTGTGTGCTTTCAAGTCGTTTCAGACTTAGGTTGACCCTGAGCGAGGGCCGGGTAAATGACCTTGGAGGGCTGTATCCAGCCCTTGGGCCATAGTTTGAGGACCCCTGGTATAGACCCTTGATCCCTGGATTTTGTTTATTCAACTCTTGGCGTTTGACCCCTGGCCTGGACCCTTTTATCACTGAGTCATCTTGAAGCTGTAACAATGTTGGCTGTTTTTGTTTTGTATTCTGTGGCTGAATGCTATTTTTTGTTTTATATTTTGGACTATTAAAACAGCCAGAAAGTAAGTGCCGTTTTAATTAAATTGTTTTATACAAACTGGGTGTTTGTTTGATTCACCTCTGCTGGAAATAACAGCAGAGCCCTGGCATCGTGACATCCACCTCTAATGCTGATCTTGTCACTTCACAATGCTAGTGTTGGATGGGGATCCTGGGATTTCTAATCTCTGCTCAGACATAGAAACCACTGAGTAATCTTGGGCAACCTGGATTCTCTTTCTTAAGAGATTGGAATGGAAAACATCCTCTGAATGAATCTTAGCAAGCGTCCCTTCCACACAGCCGTATAAAATCCACATTGAACTGGATTATATGGCAATGTGGACACAGATATCCTGGATTATTTGCCTTGATATTCTGGGTTATATGTCTGTATATGCCTCAAAAACCCTACAACAGAATTGGCATAAAACTTAACAACATGCGTATCAATGAGATTCTGTATTCCTTCTGACTTTATTCCTTCTGATAATATTGGATTCTCCTTCTGCCCCCCGCCCCCTCCTAGTTTCATCTCACCTGGACCTTTGTCCCCTTGGCATGGCATTCAGCAGGGAAATAGACAACCTCCTGGACTTCATCCTTTGGCCGATCTGAATTCTTACCAAAGATCACTTCCTTGGCAGCAGAAGCCGGAGGAAGAGAGACAAAACAGTCGCAAGAGGAGGGGGGCACAGGAGAGCGGAGGTTATCCATTCTATCTACAGTGGAAAAAACGCACACAGTTGTAACCTCTTCCGACCCTCCATATTTTAGAGAAGAAAACCCTGTTTCCGTGCACCAGCACTCCACTGATTTTGCCATCATTAAAACATTAAAAAAAAACTGAACACAGAGAGACAAATAATAATGTTATACTATACAAAACACATGTATGGAATAATACAAATTAATTACATGAACACACACTCACTAAGTAAAGAGAGGGGAGTCAAGGTTTGTCTTCCAAACCCACAACTGATGGTAATATTGTAGATTCTCAATTAACTGGAACCCACAAGGAACTGGCAAAATTGAGTAATACTTTAAATAAAAAAATCATATCAAATTTTAGTGGAAATGATATATTAAGTTACGTTTGCCCTTTGTCTTAATTTGCTTTTAATTACTATATTTCAATATTAATATCAAGTCAATACAGAGTTGATAGTATGGTATAGTATTGGGTATAATATTAGGTCTACTTTTATAGTAACTTTCAAGCAACCAGAAACTAAAATCTGGCAACCATCCATCCCCATGGGTGCTGGTTAACTGAGAGTCTACTGCATTGGTTCTCACCCTGTGGGTCCGCAGGTGTTTTAGTCTAAAACTCCCTGAAATCCCAGCTAGTTTACCAGCTTTTAGGATTTCTGGGAGTTGAAGGCCAAAACATCTAGGGACCCACAGGGTGAGAACCACTAGTCTACTGTATTTGTTTTATTACCCAACTTCCTCTAATACAAACATCATTTTAATCCCTCCCCTTTTCATAATACATTGCAAAAGTATAGTTCTGTCAAATGTCTTGCCATTGCATTTTCATTCTCTTCCATTGCACATTAAGAGTAAAGGTAAAGGTTGTCCCCTGACATTAAGTCCAGTTGTGTCTGACTCTGGGGGTTGGTGCTCATCTCCATTTCTAAGCCGCTGAGCCAGCGCTGTCCACTGATACCTCCAAGGTCATGTGGCCGGCATGACTGCATGGAGCACCGTTACTTTCCTGCTGAAGCAGTACCTATTGATCTACTCACATTTGCATGTTTTCAAACTGCTGGGTTGGCAGAAGCTGGTGCTAACAGCAGGAACTAACGCCACTTCCCAGATTCGAACCTGTGACCTTTCAGTTAGCAAGTTTAGCAGCTCAGCGGTTTAACCCACTGGGCCACTATTATTATGTTGGTAATTATATTATATTGATATTTACCTAGTTGTTTATCCAAAATGTCATTTGATGATTCGGTTGTTTGAATTCGCCATTATAGAAACATAGAGTTGGAAGAGACCTCATGGGCCATCCAGTCCAACCCCCTGCCAAGAAGCAGGAATATTGCATTCAAAGCAACCCCGACAGATGGCCATCCAGCCTCTGTTTAAAAGCTTCCAAAGAAGCAACCTCCACCGCACTCCGAGGCAGAGAGTTCCACTGCTGAACGGCTCACACAGTCAGGAAGTTCTTCCTCATGTTCAAATGGAATCTCCTTTCTTGTAGTTTGATGCCAATGTTTGTAAACATTGTTTGTAAACATGTAACTAACAGATTGTTTCCACGTACATATAAATCTCCTTTTATATCCCTCTTGGCTACTCTATGGGCCCTTCTACGCTGCCATATAAAAACCAGATTATTTGCTTTGAATTGGATTATAGGGCAGCGTAGACTCATATAATCTGGTTCAAAACTGATAATGTGGATAATCTGCTTTGATCATCTGGATTATATGGCAATGTAGAAGGGGCCATAGTCTTATGATCCCCAATATCCTTTCTACATTCTGTTTTCCATATCCTGATTGGATTACAACTCCCATCAGCCCCAGCTATCTTGGTTAATCATGGTGGGATTGCAATCCAATGGCCATGGGGTTTAAATTGTGCTGGGATATGTTTACCAACCAGCCTACCCTTTGCAAGATTCATCCCCCCAACTCCCAACCCTTTCCCATTTCTCACCCATTTTCAGTACACAGGTTGCCTTATTATTCCTTCTTTGCGACCCAAATCATGTGCAAGGAACCCACTCACGGCTGCAAAACTTTGCAAAGCTGACATTAGGGTTGGAGCTAAAACCCGGACTGGATTCTATTTGCCATTTGGCCGGAAGATACCCAAAAATGGACATTTGGTTGCAATACTAGGAAAGGGTCGCTAGAGGGCGCGCTTGAATAATCTACCAGCGCTTTAGTATTTGTACAGAAATCCTGTAAAACATAAACAAACAGAAACAAGAGATGCAAAAAAGGAGTTACATAAAGCAAAACAATATCCCTTATAGTAACAAAAGATATTTTCTTGATATATATATAAAACTAGGCTACAACAACTAACAGAACTAAATCTAAAACAATCATCCTAGTTTATATTTATTATGGATAATTTATTGTTAATTTATTAATAAATAAATAAATAGCTTATACAATCCAACACTTTAAAAAACTCTAAAATCATAACAGTAAATAGAGAACAACATTCAAAAACAGGGGAATTCCAGACAGGAAACAATCAGGGCCAGCTAATCACCTCCCAACAAATGATTCCCCCAGGCAGTAAGAAGTCAGATCTTACATCCCACAAATATATAAACCCAATTTTCCTAATTTCCAACAGACCTCACAACCTCTGAGAATGCCTGCCACAGATGCAGGCGAAACGTCAAGAGATAATGCTTCTGGAACATGGCCATACAGCCCGGAAAACTAAAAAAACAACCCAACCCAACACTATTAAAACATATAACAAGAAGGAGCTCACACTCATTACATTGATTTTTTACTTCTGACTTTCTACTCTCTTAAGCAGAGAGAGATAGAATTGGTTACTGATGGGAAATATTGCTGGGATGAAAAAGAAGGTTTTAAATAGAATATGACTTCTGCCTCCTAAATAGTCTGGATAAGAGATGTGAAGCTATCATGGAAGGCATGCGGGAAAACCAAAAGTCACATTCCAAATTAAAATGATGTGAAACGAGTGGGTTAAACTGCGTCAAGACATCTGGATACAGGACAAAGATGCATAGATTGGAATCTGCGGACAAAGAAACAGAGATGTAGATAATGATATGGTCTTAAAGGGAATATTCTAATAACACATGTATAATTGATAATTGGCTTACAAAATAAATTTGGTTAGATTTTGGTAAGCGAATTTGGAGATACGGGGAAAATGGTTATCGTGATGCTTAGGTAGAATAATTATTGGTAGAGGAATCTGTCTGGGAGAGATAAAGTGGGATATTAATAATAGTAATAATAGTAACAATAATGTTGTTAGAATTGTTTTTTTTTATAAAGAGGGACTAATTCAATGGTAAAAATGATTACTAGGATGAGAAATGGTAACGAGTGATATTTTAAAGAATATGAAACCTTTAGGGAACAAAAGGAGGGAAAGGAAGAAGAAGAATATGACTATGTGATGTGTGAGCTTTGAGGAATATAGTAGAATCTCGCTTATCCAACCTTCACTCATCCAACGTTCTGTATTATTCAATGCAATCTGCCTCCCGCCCGGACCCACAGCTGTTTCAATACATTGCAATGTTTTGGTGCTAAATTCGTAAATACAGTAATTAATACATAACGTTGCCATGTATTGAACTGCTTTTTCTGTCGATATGAGTTGTAGTTCACCCACAACCTTATGCATTTTGTACAATTACACTTCTCTAAACTTCTTATTTTTTGTATATCCTCTCTTGTATTTTTTTCTTTTCTGATTTGTATCTATTTTTTTCCTTTATAAGACTATAATATTTTAATGTATTTTTACAATATTCAAATAAAAAATACTTTGGAAAAAGGGAAGTGACTTTTTAAACTGCAAGTACCAGACTTTAATGATGTGATGCAGACCAGCTCTTCTCTAATATGGAGGAGTCTATATACTTGCCAGTAGGCGTATATGCACTTTTATTTAATTGATATCCAATGTTTTCATCCCTTTGAAATGCAATAATAATATAACTTGATGAAACCAAAACAGGCATAATATAAAAACAAAGGAAAAGAAATTAAACCAGAGTTTAATTTCCACGGAAGCTACATCTGCACTATAGAATTAGAATAGTTTAGCAGCACTTTAACTGTCATGGTTCGATGCTATGGAATCTTGGGATCTGTAGTTTGGAAGCACTCTTTGGCAGAGTAGGTTACAGAACTTGTAAAACTACAACTCCAATGGTTCCAATAGTGCCAAAGCGCATTAATTCTACAGTCTAGTACTCCGAATCACTTAAGCCCACTAAGGTTTCATCTACATTGCCATATAATCCAGTTTCCGAATCCAGATTATCTGCTTTGAACTGGATTATGTGGCAGTGTAGAATCATATAATCCAGCCCAAAGCAAATAATATATTTTTTGCAGCCCTTCGCCTTGCTCCCCGCACCCTTCTGAACTCGGAAAGGCACGGGGGACGGGCAGAAAGGCTGTGCTCATGGCAAGGCCGTGAGCGCAGCCCTCCACCCCCACCCCCATGCCCTTCTGAACTCGGAAAGGCGTGGGGGGTGGGCAGCTCTCCCTTGGCCAAACGGCAAGGGTCGGCAGCCATTTTGGCGGAGGTGGGGCCAACCAAGGCAGCTTCGCGACCCCCCAAAAATGGCCCAGTGACCCCCCTGGAGGTCGCGACCCCCAGGTTGAGAACTGCTGTTCTAGAGCATGGCCATATAGCCCAAATAACCTACAACATCCCAGTGATTCCAGCCATGAAAGCCTTCGACAATACATGTCTTTGAATAAATCATACCAAGAAAACTCTATAAAAGCCATAGTTCGACTGAAAATATCTAATAATAACAATAATTAGAAGTATATTAGCAGCACCTGAACGCCCTTTTCATCAGCAAACCAGCATATTTGTGTATGTCTGCGTGGCAAGAGGACTGTGGGATTCATAGTTCAAACAAGCAGTTTTCCAAGCTGTGGCCCAAAACAGAACAGAAAGTCCAGCCTCACTGTTTCTGATGCCAAGTAGCTCAGTTTTGGGCATCCTAAATTCCCGACTTGTGCCTCATGCCCTTTGTACACTTCCAGGTGGCTTCAAGTGATTTGGATTTTGGACACACACACACACCCATTGCACAACTAATAACTTTTTTTGAGATCCTGCTGATTTTTTTCCCCTTGGAGACTGGACCATGGACTGCACCCATGTAAAACCGTGCCTGAACAAGTCCAGTCTCCAAGGGGAAAAAAATCAGAGAAAGTGTCCACTTGATCTTCTAAAGAGCGAGACAAGATGAGGGTGGAGAAAGTCAGATACAGAGAGCACCACTCCCTATAGAGTTGGAGTCACCGGTCCGGTGGCCTCCACCCTCCAATCCGTACCCAAGGCATTATTTATATGGCAGATGTTACACCCTGTTGCTTCACCTGTGGGTTTCCCTCCTATGTAACCGGTCGGTTCAGGATGAAACTCATTCCAGCTCCAGTTTTCTGGGCCATATTCCGGAAACTCCACCTTCAGCTGCTACAAGACAAGGAGCCTCGCCCTTGGAGAAAGTTATGTCCTTTGTATGTTGGATTCCAAAACAGTGTGTGATGCTTAAGAAGGTCTCTTCCTTCTCTTCTCTTGCTAGATCCGGTTACATTCTTTTTTGGCTATTGCACTCAAATAGTGGAAATCCTTCCAATAGGTTGCACACTTGGTCCCCTCTCTGTTCGCTTTCTCCGAGCTGTCAAAGGCCAAATCTATACTCTTAAAGCAGTGTTGATGGTGGTCAAAGACCATTTTTAGATAGCCTGGACTTTGATGCTTAATTCAGAAGTTATTTATTTATTTATCGTGTCAGAAACGAACCGAGGGTACAGTTGTAATGTGTTTAAAAACACAAACAAAGTTAAAGAAACTTGGCACTATGCTACATGTAGCTGGCCACTTGGAGTGCCTCTGGTGTTGCTATAAGAAGGTCGTCCATTGCGCATGTGGCAGGGCTCAGGTTGCATTGCAGTAGGTGGTCTATGGTTTGCTCCTCTCCACACTCGCATAGATGCAGGCGAAACGTCGTTGTCGACTCCACTTTGTGGCCCCATTTCTTAAGGTTGGCTCTGCATGTTGTGGTGCCAGAACACTGTCTTTTCAAGTCGCCCAGTCTTTTGTGTGCCCAGGAGGGAGTCTCTCATCTGGTATCAGCCATGGCTTAAAGTTTGGGTTTTAGCCTGCCAGTTTTTGACTCTTGCTTGCTGAGGTGTTTCTGCGAGTATCTCTGTAGATGTTAGAAACTAGTCATATGCAAGAATGGGCTTTATTGGAGTGCGTTTTCCTAAATGGTGTTTTAAATGTGTGTTCAGTTCTTTTAAATATGTGTTTTAATGGGTAGCTTTGTTTAACTCTTCATAAAAACTTTTGAATTAATAGACTTTTCAAGCTCTACTTTGTTTCAATTTGTTATAAATTGCCAGGGTTCTGCACTGGGAGAAAGGTGGAATATAAATTAGCTGAATAAATTGAATGAATGAATGAATTCGAGGCACATTCAAGTTCTAGTTATTAGAGAGAGGGGAAATCGTTATGGAGCCAAAGGGTTGAATGCCTAAAAAGCTCAATAAGTGATACAGAAAAGGCCCAGGAATTAGAGCAGTGGTTCCCAACCTTTGGTCCGTGGACCACCAGAGCTCCGCAAGAACTAAAATATGATCCATGGTCTCATCATTATTACACAATTGCAACGAGAGCAACTGGTCTTGCAAAACTCTCTTATAGTGCCGAGGCTTAGTAAATATGGTTTTCTGTGGGCGAGAAGATGGCGACTACTGGAATGGCAAAAGTTCTGTATCAGAAACTAGAGCTGATGTGGTCTAGCCAATGCAATTTTCTGAATCAGCACCCCAAATAACTAAACCAAATCTGAAGTTGATCAAAAACTGATTCGTAATCATTTCGGTACTAATGTTGGAGAAGTAGTCCCTGGTCAAAATGGTCCCTAGTCAAAGTGGTCCCTGGTCAAAGTGGTCCCTGGTTAAAAAAAAGAGGGGGGGCGGTTGGGAACCACTGAATTAGAGGATTAGCTAAATTGGGCATCTTGTATTTGGCTATTCCAATTTTAAGTAGTTACCTAAATGTGTATTTTACAGCAAACCTCACAT